CGTCTGGGGACATTTTTTTTCCCGGACCGACGAACGCTGCGATGCAACAGGGAGGTGGTTGCGTTACGAAGGAGAATTATGCGAGCGTCGGGGATGCTGGCGCGATTATCTCGCATTATTTAGCTTCGAATGGGAAACGGGGGATGGAGGATTTAGGGGTCGACGGGTGCTCGGTATTGGCGGTGCTGCGAATTTAATTTTTCATCCGTAGAGTGAATGTTTTATCGGAGAAACTCAACGTTCTGTAAGCCTAATTTTTAGGTCATACAATAATACATCGACAGTTTACCAAATAATTGTTCATTGAATAAAATACTCCAACAAATGAGAATTGAGGGTCTATTAAAAGTATCATCGCTCGCAGATAATCACACAGGAGTCCCAAGCGTCCATCTTCCGAGGTCAGCTTTCGAGAAGTCTTAGCTGATAGAGAACAGATCCGTCGGACGCGCAAGAGGGCTGATTTTTTTGCTGGTCGCACAGAAGCCAGGAAGCCGAGCTGAGCTTTTTGCCGAGCAACGTTAAATATCGGGCCAACGAAAGAGGCATTGTCGTCGTCTCGCTACATCGCGTGGAAGGACTTTGACAAATCGTCGATCAACCCTCGAGAATCGCTTCCTATCTCGAGGACTCTTCGAAAGTCCTGCTGAACTGGCCAGTGATCGAGATCTGGCAATCCATTCTTGAAGGACTTTTCCTTCCGATAGAAGCAGCTTCTACCACCCTTACTACAATCGCGTTATTTTCCAGCTAGGGTTGATTGCAGGGAATACAGGCTGTTTAATGGCAATCGATAAAGTTTATTCCTGATGAATTTTAGGCATTCTATTGGGTTGTCCGGAAAGTCCATGTTGATTTTTGGCAGGTGGTACAGGTCTGAATATATCGAAATGGTTGAAAACAAATAACATGTATACATCCCTTAAAAGGTGGAACGGTTGTGAACCAAAATGGCGCCTACGTAATTCAATAAATACATGTATATATTACATGTATAGTGTATTATATGCCTTTGAATTTTTCTTAGATTGGCACGAACTTTCTGGACAACCTGATAGATAAGGCATTCTAGACAAATAAATCTTAATATTTTTTAATCGCTTCATTTTTTCCGTAAATTGATGCAGTATTTAACGAGGGCTGACAGAACAGACGGCTCCATTCAGCGCGAGATCCCCCAGGGTTCCTGCGGCCGTTTCGCAACTTCCGGTCGGGGTTCGGCCTCGAGCCGACCTCTCGAGTGGCGTCCTTAAAAGGCGTCTCGGTGCGTTTTGCTCGGCGGTTAATGGCTTAATGGCGAGTCGATGTCCGAGGCGAAGAGGCCAACATTTCACGCCAATACACGGGACAATTACACGGCCTCCCTCGGCTCCTTCTGCAGTCGGATTCTCGTGCCGCGCGACCCGATATCGCGAAAACGACCCGGCCCGATAACGCGCGCGGGTTCCTTTTTATCTTATCACACGGAAACCCTCGTTTCGTCGACGCGTCGGCTTCTTCTTCGCCGTCCTCTGCCTCCTCGAGTCCTTCCGCGGCGCTGACGAACAGTGGATCCATTTATTCGCGAATGCCAAGGCCAAGGGAGAGATCGACGATCGGGACGTCCGACGGAGGTCGTCGCGGATCTATCGTAAGCGTAGATTGGACGTATGTGGTTCGAAAGGTCGTTTTACTAATCAAATTTCTATCCAATCGAATGTTTTGTTCACAGGTGCGAAGGAGTTTGAAGAATTTTAAAACGTATTTTTTGGGGGAGGTAGGGAGTTGAACGCATCTATTTTTAGTAGTGTATCTATGGTTGCAAAGGTGGTTTCAGCTGAAGAAATGATCTAAAGAATAAATATGATACCTTGGTATAAAACGTGATATCTCTCACATACCCCTTCTGATATACATACGTATAAGACTTAAGTACGTATATTAATATTTTACAGTGAACATGTCATGTTTCACGCAAAAACATAATACTTATCCTGAAAGGGCTGCAACCGGTCATCTCGTAATGAAGCGTTCGCGATAAAGTGAGGGCAATTCGTTCGCGCGAACGTTCAAAACCGTTCATCGGACAGACTTTCGGGAGGGGTCGATGGCCACCTGTCGTCACAAAAGGGTGTACACGTGTCCACGGGGTGAAAACGACGTATTAACACGCGCGAGGGATGAACTGCGCCTCGTCGATCTGCTGACACGATCGGCCATCGGTGTTAGATCGCTCTTCGCGTGATTTCCGGTTGTTGCCTTTTTTTTTTTTTTTTTTTTTTTTTGATTGCGTAACGACCCCTCTTCTAAAAGAAAAATTTCGAAAGAGAACTACTCCTCGACACGGTATCGATTTTGGAAAATAATGTACGCTGCGATGCGAGATACCGCGTGATGCATCGCCCGTGAATATTAAAAACTGGAATATTTGATGAGTCGACCGTGGGAAATTTTATTTAGGTTTGCGTTCCGACTCCCGTGAGGGTTCGTTTCGAAATACAACAGATATTTTCGTGTGTACGCTGAATATACGATAAGATATTGGGAGGAGTTAATTTTTTTTAAGGGGTAGGAAAGTTGAAAATGAAGGAGTCTCGGCAACGATTTCAGAAAATTGCATCGAAAGATTGTTGAAAATGATAGAAACATAGCGATTCGAGTTTGTCAGGTTTCAATGAAAACAGCATTTGTGCAACATGAAATATTCCTTTCGAGTAGACGAGAAAATACTCGAGTTCTATTCAAAAAACGTAAATTCAATTGTTCCATTATTTTCAGATATTCTAGTTATTCCTATTAATGAAACGTGCAGCATGCTATTCCCATGTACGCAAACAATTAATTACGCACGTCTCGGGAGCGATAATTGTCTTCGAAGAAATCTTTCTTTCAGACTGATTAAGCTAGGTAATTCTATCGCGCAAAAACCAAAGATTCTTTCCCACCCTCTCCGACGAGTGACCACCCTTTGCAAAGACAGACGAGAATCGTTCCTCTTATGTAACAACCGGTTAAGTGCCATTACGCGAGGAATCCATTAAGCCTGCACGTGCTTCTTCCGGTTCTCGATCGAGGCAAGTCGTTCCTGTTTCCTTGGACGGCCTGGAAAGGATATACGGTGCCTCCTCGAACACGTGGCAGGACGTCTTCACTTTGAACGAGGTCTTGAGAATCGGAAACCTTCCTCCAGATAACGTTTCGAAGTATGCCCGTCTTGAATATCGATCCGCGTAAACGATCCATGGGACCGACGTTAAAAAGTAACGAAGGAAGTTTGCATGCGAAACAACTTCCAGTGAGACAATTGTACCGTGGCCTTAGCAATTATGTGTTCAAGGAGAGAGATATATTAAACGTTTTTTTAACCCTTTGCCGTCGTCGACAGTTCCATTGAAGAGAGCTAATAACTTAGACGACTAAACCTTTCTCTACCACGATTGTTGAGTCGTGGAAATAAAATATCATACTAGTGCTTCGAAGTGTACCAGTTTACGCCTTAGGAATCTATTCATAAACTAATATCGCTACTTTAGACAAATTCAGTAAATAAAGGGTTAAGAAGTCGCCTCTCGAGTGCAGAGGGTTGAGTTTATTAAACAAACAACCCTTCGTCGCGAACAATATCGAGCGACATTCAGAGTAAATGTTACGTTATTCGATTATAAAGAAGATTATAGGAAAAAGAAATTGTTCTCAGCGTTTCACGATTCATCGATCCTTCAACTAAAGAACGTCAACCGAACTGAAACGCGAAATCCAGCAATCATCGAATCAGAAGAATTCCAAGGATGGCAATTCTCCTGATGGACATAATAATTGTCTTGGAGGATTCGCGAAGTTTTACGTTAGATCCGACTGTCTCTGGATGGACGAGAGAGTCCTCAGCTTTTAAACGAACTGTCGAACTCGCGTCGGGGGTTGGCGAGCGCGCGCGCGCGCGCGCGCACACGCGAAGAGGAGGAGGGTTTAATCGCAAATTGACTCGTCGTCGCCAATAAAAATTCAATAACCGCCTGCCCGCCGCCGGTTATTGTCGAAAAGTTCGGACCAGGCCTTTTAGTGTCCTCCTCTCACGCTGGTCGCTCCCTCTACCCACCCCCGTTCGCTTCTGTCCTCTTTCCGACCCCTCTCGCGTCGCTGCATTCCCTCTCTTTCTCGCCATTGTTGTACATCAGCGTTTCCCAAACTTTTTTAGTCACGGGACATTTTTCACCTCGCGATACGTCCGAGGAACATTCTTCGCTTGCTATCGGAATATTGAAACGGATATTTTACTGCAAAATAAATTTTCAATTTTCTTTCTTATAAGGAGATGATCCTTAGGAACGATATACATTTTTTTTCAATAGGCTGTTTGTTTCATCGAATAGTCGAACGAGTGTTACTAAAATTTTATTCATCCAGAGACTGCGAATGTTTGAGATCATTGAGATTCTGCACAAACGCAATAGTATATAAAACGTAAAAGATTAAAAGATAAGACACACTTTCGTTTCAGTTTCGATCGTTTCTCTGTGCCTGTGAAGATATTCATTTCCGTAAACATCGAATGCAAAATGATAAGAAGAATGAATATCGTATTTAATAAAGCAAGAGAAAGGAACGAGATATGCTCCCCATACTAGTCCGGAATTAATAAGCATCCCAGTCTTACGGTCGTTCGTATCTCACGGGAACGCAGTTTGGGAAACACTGACGTACACTCTCGTTCTGTCTTCCTCCCACTTTTTTTTTTTTTTTTTCGTTGCGTTCGCTAACATTCGCTGGAAAAATATTCGATGCTATCTGGACACCGTGAATTGGCTGCTGACGCTCGTACCGAGACTCTGTTTCGTTTCCACTCGATGTCCCCCTCGTTTCGTTCGCTCTTGTTCGCCCCGTCTCTTTCAGTTTCTCTCCCCGTGGCTGGCAAAACGGACGCAACGTGTAAGCTCGCACGCATGAATGGGATAACACGTTTCCTATTTTATTTTTCTTCCTTTTTTCTTCCTTTTTTTTTTTTTTTTTTTTT